CCAGCCTCTGTTCTCCAGAACAATTGCTCCCCCACCCCCCAGCCCAGTTATCTCAGCTCCAGGGGGAAGATGGAATGGGGAGAACAAAGCTATGCAGGGCAGAGAAAGGGCTTCTAATAATCGAAAGGGTGTGAGGAGGATGCCTCCACACGCCCCTCAAACACACACCGCCTCTCCCACTGATTCGCTTCTCATTAATTCGCCCACGCATTTACTCATTCACTCATTAATTCAGCCTGTCTCTAATTCACTCACTCACTCTATTTACCCATTCATTAATTCACCCACCCACTCACTCATTAATTCACTCTTTTACTAAATTACCCTCTCACTCGCTATTTGGCTCTCTCACGGTGTCACCAAATCCTGCCACCAAGGGGACAGGCTCCCACGCCACCAAATCTTAGGTCTTTCTGCCTCTGCCCTTAGGTCTTTCTGCCTCAAGTCTTAGGTCTTTCTGCCTCTGTCTACCTTCTACCTTTCAACTTTACCTCCCCAGCTAGATTGGGAGTTTTCGGAAGTGTCTGCAGGGAGGACAATGAGGACCACAGAGTATAAGAAGGAAAAGGCCAGCCCTGAGCTGAAGGCAGGCAGGACTGGTTGCATGATGCTCAGGACCCAGTCCAAAATGAAAATGCAGAGCCCCGTGTTCAGAAATCATTAAGAATTTCGGCAACAGTGGAACATTAAACCAAGCATGGGGCTCTGTGGCATTCCCACGACACTCACTCTGAAGGGAGGAGATGGATGGAGAGAAATGAGGGAGACAGAAAAGGGGGGTCGGGGAGCAGGAGAAGGGAAGGACACTTGCTTGCCAGGCACCACCTGGTGTTTTACTAATGCCATCTCATTTAACACTCAAACCACCCTTGAGGTTGATTGTACATTTTATGGAGGAAGAAGCAGGTTCAGAGAGGAGAATCGTTTATCCCAAGTCACGATGGGTAGGTGACAGACGCCTGAATGTAAGTCCAGGCCTGTGGGGCTGCAAGCCTGTCTCCACCTGTTCTGGGTGGGGGGACAGGAGGACGTGACAGGGAAATGGGAGAGGGGGTCTTCTGGGTCTAAACAGCCAGGTGCTGTGGGGGCTGATGGTAGCCTTGGCGGGGGTGGGGGGTGCGGGGGGTCACGGAGAGCAGGAGAGGTGAGGCCGGTCCTCCAAACCCTCAGCTCATTCTGCTCCCAGGGGAGGCGGGAAACAAGAAGGGGGCTCCCAGGAAAGGATCCTGAAGATTGGTGTCTGGGGCCCGGGATTTAGGCTTTTAATTCATGAGCCAGGGGGCAGCTTTATCTCTCCAGGAGTATTGAGGTAGAAGTCAATGATTTGGGAAGTCATTGAATTAGGGCGTCTTGGAGGTGAGTTGTCAGTGTCCTGAGCGTATCAGTTACAATGCCTGACTTGGGGTGACAATGACTTGGAAGGTGGCTGAGTCAGGGGTCAGTGAGTGCTGGTGAACTAGCCAGCCCATCTTGAAGAATCGATAACCGAATATTGGTGAGTTAAGGCCCCAACAGTTGTAATAGCACCCCGGGTGTCAGCCAGAAACCAACAAACAGCCAAATCCCTGCAGCCCCGCCCAGACTATCAACCAGTGGGGGAGCTGATTAACCATTAACCCCTACCCCTCCCCAGCAGAGCCTCCACCCCGGCACAGAGGCTAGGCCAAGACTCCTGGGAGATCCTCCTGGAGGACAGTTTGAAAGGCAGGAAGGCAGAGAGCGCACCTGGGAGGAGGCAGTGGGAGCGTGGAGGGTGGGGGGCCGGGCTCGGCCTGGAGCCTTCGGGGTGGGCATCCTGGGCAGGGCGAGTGGCCGAGGTGTAGAGGGGGGAGGATGCGCCTCTCCAAAACGCTTGTCGACATGGACATGGCTGACTACAGTGCTGCGCTGGACCCGGCCTACACCACCCTGGAATTTGAGAACGTGCAGGTGTTGACGATGGGCAATGGTAGGTGGGGCAGGTGTGCCCAGGTGTGCCAGTTGGGGGCAGGTCTGCAGCTCTCAGTTTTGGGTTGGGAGGAGAATAATAGACAATAGCATGTTGGTCCTTAGGCCAGCACAGGTGTCGTCAGGTGAAGCAAATGTGCAGTGACCCCTGGTTGAGGGGAGGCATGTAAGTAAGGGCAGATCTGAATAGGTAGGTCTCCGGTATTCCTGCTAGGCCCTTCTGGTCCCTGGTAGCTCCAAACCATTCCTGATCAGTATGTCACCGGGAGCAGAGACATGATGGTGTGCGCCCTCTTGGCATCCAGCTCCAGTAATTGGGCCCAATGTGGCCCCTTCTTGAACCCCTTTGACATAGGTCCAGAGACATGGAAAGATATTTCCAATCTCTAGAGACGGTGGATGGAGGCGCTACCGTGTTTCAGAGTGCCTTCGGAACTTTCCTGGGTTGAACAGCCCACTTAGAGAAAATGGAGTCTTCAGGAAAGTTTTGCTAAACGAGATGCCGGTCGGCATTGTGTGTGTTGTGTGTGTGTGTGGGTTGGTGTGTGATCGTGGCCTCTTCTTGGTGAGCACGCATCAGCTTCCGTGTAAGTGGGTGGGTGGGTGGTGTCGACAACCGTGTGCCTGCGGGAACTATTTGCATGTTTGTGTTCATTTGCCTGTGTGTGCCTGGTCTGTGTCCATGTCCATTCCTGTCTGTTCACTGAGGGGGTCTGTGTTGGTGGGTGAATCCAGGGGCGCCTGTACGTACCGTAAGTGGTGGTGAATGTGTGTACGTGCGTCTGTGGATGTTTGCACACGTGTGCTGTGGATGGGACTCATTCCGTGCTTCCTGGGCACATTTATGTCCCACGTGGACATCCCGTCTCCTGCCCCTGTCTGTGCCTGCTCGTGGACGTGGGCGCGTCCCTGCACTGGGGGCCGGCGCTCGCTAGTGCACACACAGTTACCAGACGTGATACGCAGGGTTTTGACATCGCCATTAGCCCAATCAGCAACACGTCCATTTGACTCTGAGCAGATTTCGTGGCTTGTGTGTGTCTCTCCCCAGGTCTATGCATCCGCCCCCACGTCACCATCGCGACAGCACATCTGAAGGAGGGAGGTGTGGTTCCACTTTGCAAGGAGATGGAGGAAGGGAGGGGGCTTGGAGGCCAGGAAGTTTCTGGAGGGGAAGGTCCCTAAGTAGTGGCCACCCAGCCTCAGAGAAGTGGGTGGCAGTCGGCTGAGGCCAGCCTGCCACCTGCCTTCCTGTCATGGTGCTGCAGCTTCAGCCAAGGCCTGTAAGGCTTGTCAGTTCTGCTCAGCCAGAAAGAGGTAACTGCCCTGCCCATGGTCAGTGGGTGCTGCCTGTGGTTGGTCTCAACAGCTGCTCACCTGCCCTGCCATCCACTCACTGTATGACCTTGGGTGTGTCACCGCCCCTCTCCTGGCCTCTGTATCTTCTACAAAATGGGCTTAATCATCCCAAGCCTGCTGGCTGGCTGGATTTTAGGAGTCTCTGGGGATCACGTGAAGGAACTGAGGGAAAAACACACAGGAAATGGTAAACAAGGAACTGCTGCACCAGGCGGGGTACTATGTGACCCCACAGGGACAACGTGCGCTGTCATACTTCTGGCCACCGACCAGCCCTGGGCTGCATCCTGGGGCCAGCCCTGTCACCCCTCCAGAGCCCACGCCTCCCACTCCCAGGAATGGTGCTCCTGAGGCAGAAGCCACCCCCTTGATTGGGTGTCTTGAAGACAGGACAGTTTCCAGCTCTGGAGCCAGAAAGATTAGGGCTCACATTCTGGCACAGATCCTCCTTACCTGTGTGAACTTGGCAAGCCAGTTTCCTCTCAGAGCCTCAGTTTCTTCATCTGTAAAACGGGAATAAATAACAGCGCCTGCCCTCCCCTCCCCCACCCTGCCCCGCGCTACCCAGAGGATTAAATAAAATAAGACACCTGCGAACTTAGCACTAGTAACTGGTCCTGGCCCCATGTGGGTCATCTCGGGAACTCTGAGCACCTGTAAGAAGGGTCTGCATTCCCCACTGGAGCATGAAATGGTCTGGGAGTTGGGGTTACGTTTGAATATACATCCTGGGCTGGTGGCTCGAAGCCTCCAAGGATAGCTCCCCACCTATCCTCCGCCCCTGTTCTGGAAGCAGCAGCAGCAAGGGGTCCTTGTTTCAGAGACACCAGCAGACAACCCAGCAAGGGTAGCACGGTAGAGTCATCTAGCATGCCTGGGCCATAAATCTGTGTCCTCTACTTAGCAGCAGTGTGATGATGACCCTGGGCGAGCCACTTATCCCCTCTGTGCCTTGGTGTTCTCACCTGGCAAATGGGGCCGATCAGCTGACTCCAGGGGTGAGGTGATATACTTGGCAGCACGCAGTCCATCCTGCCCGGGATGTGGGCACCCCTTCCCCCATCCTCCACCTGAATGGCTGGGACTTGTGGGGTCAGCTCTCCCCGGGGGTCGGGGGAGGTGAGGCTGAGGGAGAAAGGGCACCAGCACAGCTTAACAATTATCCCCATCTCGAGGAATAATTCACCAAGCGGAGGGGGCCGCACTCCTGGGCACCCTCGGGAATCTGGGAGATGTTCAGCCAGGCGACAGCAGAATGAGATGCAGCGGTGTCCGCTTGTGCGTGGAGGCTGGAAGTCATCTGCTCTGAGAATTTTCTTCTGCAGAAAAGTTTTTATTTCACGAACACTGGCGAAGTGCTCATTATGTGCCAAGCTCTTCACTGAATCCCTGTAACAGCCCTAGGGGATTATTCTGTTCCCTATTTTACAAGTGAGGAAATGAAGGCCAGGAAAAGTAAACTAATGCAGCCAAGGTCACATGGCTAAGAAGTGGGCATGCTGGGATTTAAACTTGGCAGAAATGTCTCAGACTTTGTGCTCTTAACTACCACACTATGCCCCTCTTCCGTTCTTAACTGGATGTTCCTTAGGAATTCAAGGTCGGATTCAGGGTCTCTATGAGAACGCGTGTGTGTACGACTTTGTGTGGTGTGCACATGCATGCATTTTTGGGGAGAGATGGGCCATGGCATTTATCATCTTCTCTGAGAGGTCTGTTCTTGGTGGAAGTTTGCTTACTAAAAGAGTGTTCAGCTGCTGAAATTTTTAAAAAAAAAATTGAGAACACCTGGACCAGTCAAACGGTCCCCTTAACAGTTGGGGAAACTAAGGCCTGGGAGAAATTGAAGCAAGGAAAAGGAACTTGCCCAAGGTCACAGGTGAGTTAGTGGCAGAATCAGCACTAGCACCCAGGACCTCCAGCACCCGAGATCTCTTCCACCTGCCTCTTATGCCCCTCCTCACATTCATATAGATGCAGTAGCTTTTGCCCTCTGGGGCAGAAGGTATACGAGAGGTGTCCACATGCTTGCCATGGCCAGGAGGAGGGCAAATGAGCTGCTGTCCTTGGTACATGTCTTCTTCTTTCCCGGGAGAGTTGGCAGGGCCCCTGGGCGCCAAGCTGAGACCCACCGAGCCCTGGTCACTCAGTGAGAAATGAGAGGCAGGACCTGTTTCTGGGCAGATGCTGGATGGGGATTTGTCCCTTCCGCAGCCTCCTCCAGCTAGTCAGTCAGGGTCTACCAGGGTTGGATGCATCCTAGGAGGTGGCCAGGTTTTCATTACTTTCCAGGGAAAGCTGGGCTAGCAATCTTCACCACGGGGAGAAGCAGACCCTCACAAACATTTTGAAGTCACTGTCACAACCATTCCGAAGTTAGAGATACAAAAAGGGGTTCCAAAATGCCAAGGGGCTTGCCCAAGTCCCTGAGGGAGTGGGAACGGTACTTGGGTCTGGCTGAGGCGGAAGCCCTGGGGTGATCCCCATAACACTCATGTTGATTATTGACTCTAAACCACCAGAAGAGCAGGGCTTCCGGAGGTGACTTTCTGCCCCTCCTGAGTCCTCACTCTTCTCTTCTGGTGCAGACACATCCCCATCAGAAGGTGCCAACCTGAACACGACCAACAACCTGGGCGTCAGTGCCCTGTGTGCCATCTGTGGGGACCGGGCCACAGGCAAACACTACGGCGCCTCGAGCTGTGATGGCTGCAAGGGCTTCTTCCGGAGGAGCGTGAGGAAGAACCACATGTACTCCTGCAGGTGAGGAGCCTCGATTTCTCCAGCCAGGAAACAGGCGCACTTGGGCATATGTTCCCCAGGGTCTGTCTTCTCCCTGGCTAGGTCCCAGAGGCATCTGCCCTTCAAGGCCTTCAAGCCTCTTAGGCCTCGTGGATTCAGATGGAAACAATCATTCTAGGAACCTCATTCACTGATCATATAGCTATCGGCTGCCCTTTTTTGAGCACTTACTATGTGCAGGCATCATACTACGTCTTTGCATGTACGTATTTAACTGTCCCTACAAGCCCATTGTTATTGTCTCCATTTTGCAAATGAGGATCCATGAGCCTTAGGAAGCCTCAGAAGTTGGGGCCCATTCCCTAATGTGTTGCTTTTTCTGAGGCAAATAGGGGATTGACCCCAGGCCTTTTCATCTACCCCAAGGGCTTCTCAAAGCCTTGGAGATCCCTCCTTCAAAGCATCTTCTATTCTGAGCGACAACAATAAAATAATAGCAGTTGCTAGTTAGGAGCACTTGGTCACGCGCAGATCCTGTGCCAAGCTCCCTTCCTGTATTTTCTTATTTTCACCCGTCGACACTCCTCTGAGGTGGTTCCTATCATTATTCCCATTTTATAGATAAGGAAGCTGTGGCTTGGAGAGGAATTGGAATTTGCCCAAGGTCATCCAATTTGAATCGATGGCAGAACAGCGTTGACCCCCAGGGCCACACCCATAAGCATTGTGTGGTCCTGCCTCTGCTTATATCGCCCTCCAGAGAGGGGCTCACGTGGACCAAGCATTTGCTCTGAGCCGTAACCAGGAGCCCGCTCTGGGCTCTGGGCTCTGGGCTCTTATAGGATGTGGTGGAAATAGCAATGCTTCGATGCTCACAGGGCTAAGGTTCCCAACTTGGCCCTACCACCAGGCTGAGCAATCGGGTCTCCATATTGCCTCTCCAAGCCTCAGTTTCCCCGCATGGACTCTTAGAGAATCCATAGAGCCTTTCTCATGGTGAGATGGGGGCTCGTGGGACGAAGGGTTCGAGCAACAGATGACCAAGGTTCTAGTTCAATCGCGGGAGCGGGAGGGCTGTCCCTTCCCCATCCAACCATCCAAAGCCCTCCTCAGATTTAGTCGGCAGTGCGTGGTGGACAAAGACAAGAGGAACCAGTGCCGCTACTGCAGGCTCAAGAAGTGCTTCCGGGCTGGCATGAAGAAGGAAGGTGAGCCTGGGCTCTGCCCCTACCACCCCGCGGCCCCACCCGCACCCACGGCTCCCCACAGTCATTTACGACTGCGGCCACAACTTTATGACTCGGTGACAGGCCCCAGAGTGACTGGCTAATGGCTGAGAGGAGGAAGGGCCTGGAAATCTGACCATAGGGAGGGGCTGGGCTTGGTCTTGAGAACGATTAGAAGAGATAAGCTCCCACCCTCAGCCACTCGGGTTTCCAGCTACCACCACCCCTGCCTGTCTTCGCCACCACCAGGCAGCCAAGTCCGGTGTTTTTTCTTTATATGCTATTTCAAACATTAGGAAAAGCACAGAGCATGATATTACAAATGTCCATGTACCCGCTACCCAGAGTCAGCTAGTATGGATGGGGGGAGGGCTCTCTTCCTGAGCTTCCTGTCCCGGGGACAAGTGCTTCAATTCCTTAGTCATCATTCTCGAGTATCAGGTGATCTGAAGTTTTCCTGTTCCAGGGAACAGGAGCGAGGCTCCAGACTTGCCCTGGGTGGAGGAGGAGGAGAAGGCCAGAATACAACATTTATTCCAGGCCTCCTGCTTCCAGCAGATTGATGCCAATTACTGGGCTGGGTTTTTCCACGATGGATAGTTCCTTTTGTTCTTATGACGACCCAGTGCGGCTGGCACTATCATTCCCCCTTTTCATGGACGAGGGAACTGAGGCCCGGAATGGCTCAGCCACTTGCCTAAGACCCCACAGCTGGTCAGTGCAAGATCTGGGGCTGGAACCCAAAGCTTCAGACTTGAGTTCAGTGCCGTCTGGACAGCACCTCCATGCTGCCTTCTTTATGCCCTCCAGACCTCAAAAGGTTTAAAATGTTTTCAGCCCAAGCTCAGGAAGCAGAAGTCCTTTAACTGCTTCTCAAAGTAACTTGAGTTCACTGTCAAATCTCTTCGTCTTCTTCTCCGCTCATCACCTTCGGCCCCCAGACCTTCAGTTCTAGCCCGCAGCTGCGTCACTCCAGCCGAACTCTTGGTCTAGTCCTGTACACTTTCCACTCGTACCCCACCCCACCCCACAGCAGGAGCCCGGGACCCGGCCTGCCAGAGCCGACGGAAAAGGAGGGGAAGCCGGTTTCGGCAGCCTCCCCTCCCCTGTCTCTGCCTCTGAGCCCCTTCGATCTGCCCCTCCCCCAGGACACACCTGTGTCTCATCCCAGCAGGGCCTGAGGTTGAGCTGATGAGACCCGTTGGCAAACCTGGACCTGCTGACCCTAGTGAAGGAGCGAGCGGCCTCCAAGGCCCCTCCTGCTCTCTGCACCACAATTCCGGCGTCCAGACCTCAGCGGTCCTCGAAGCGGGAGAGGAGCTTTTCCAAAGGGCAAATGCCCCCCACCTCCTCCCTACCCAGAGTTCAATGGGATTGAGCCTCTCTCACCTCTAAGCTGGGAACCACTGGGAATGAGAAAGGTCAGAAATGCGCAGGTGACACATGTATGAAAAACTGGCAGTCAGGGCAAGACTGAGAACTAGAGTCTTAAGGGCCTTACAGCCTATGGTTCTAATAGTGATTCTATTAACCTAACAGCCTAAGATTTTGTTTCCAGAGAATGAATTTCTCATGTTAGAATTTCACACCTGTGACAGGCAGGTCGGAGAAGGGTTGGCAGCCTTCCTAGGCTGTATGTGGCCTGATCCTGCTGTGGGCGGTCTTTATATATGTCTCTTGTTAAACATCTATTGTCATTTTCACGTGTGTCACTTCAGGGAAGTTTCACGTGTGTCACTTCAGTACAGTGTGTCCCCTCTGTACTCTAGATTTCCCATCTATAAAATAAGGGTTGTTAATGATCCCTCCCAGCTCTGTGAGTCTCACCACAGACACCAGGACATATGCATCCTCCCTCTGAGCTGCCAAGGAGGCACAGACCCATATCCTGGTTCCTGGAAGGGGAACGAGAGCCCTCGGCCATTCTGCCTTAGCTTAGCCTTGAAAATAGCCATTGCTTCTTGGCTCAGGGAAGGTGGCATTATGCCAGGAGGACCGGAGAACTGGCTGATGGCAAGTCAGTGTGGGCTGGTAAATGTTGGTGTTTATCTGCATGCCTGGGTTAACTCAAAGATCATGACACGTGCACGTGTTGCTTGCTTTGAAAATGGGCCAGAGTAGCAAAGTATTCAGTTGCCACTGTGCTCAAGCTCTGGGAAGTGAGGGTATTATTAGGTCTATCTGAGTCTTACAGTCCCAACACCCTTCCGCAGCCTGGTGGGAAGTTCCCAAAGCCAAGATCGATGCTCAGTGGATGTCTCAGGGATCAGGAAGGTCGAGACAAGTTTTCCTTTCCCTTCCTTGATGGCCTTAGCAGGATTCAGGCACTAAAACCCAAAAATGGTCCCTGAGGAGTCCATTGTATGATAATGGATACTCACTAGACTTTTGAGGATGATTACTTTGTAGCATATACAGATGTCGAATTATAATGTTGTATACCTGAAACTATATTAAATTAAAAAAAAACAAAAAATGTGGTCCCTGAGGACAGAAAGGCACGGGATGCAAACATAAAATTTATAGAGCAGCCAGGTGTATACGAGGTCATCAAACTTACCCCCCTCACTCCTTTACAGATGGGGAAATTGAGGCCCGAGAGGTGACATGTTTGGATCAAGGGTGGAGTCAGGATTAGAACTCAGGCTCCCAGAGCTGGGCAGACACCAAGCTCTCGGGATTGAAACTGGGAGGGACCAGCATGGGGGGCATCTTTTCCTGTCTAGATTCCCGATAGTTTCTCTTGACCACAGGAAAGGGCTCCTAATCTTATAGGCCTGTAAGTCTTGGCCAGAAGTGGGTTCCCTGAAGTGACAAAGACTTGGGGAGAGACCTGGAGGTCAGTGGGCCCAACCGCAGGTCAAGAATTCTTTCCTATAATTCGACACCTACCTGGGCCTTACCCAGGACAAATGTCAGCCTCCCGGTGTCAGAAACCCAGCCCAGGAAACAGGGCCAGGGGTGCAGGAGGTTCGGGTTGGTGGTGGGCCCTTCCTTGTAATCCCAGCCAAGCCCCCTGCCGGCCCCCATCAGGGGTTCTCTGAGAAGATGGGCTCATCCTCCTCTGTGCCTCTGCCCAGGCTGGTTAATATTCAATAGAAGTTACATTAGGTCCCCGACCCTGCTAATACTGAGCAAACATTTGGAAAACATCATTCCTGTGACCGAGCTCGCGCCGGGCACTGATAAGGCCGGCCTAACCTTGAGGAGCCCAATCCGCAGCTGCTGACGGCAGCCCTTTCATTCGGCCCGCCTCCACCCGGCGCCCAGTGGGTGCGGGCAGCCACCAGGGAAGGGGTGTTGGCAGACTGGGCACTCGGGCTGGGGAGTGGTGCTGGGAGCTGGTCCCATTCAGGATGGTGGGTCTCGGGAGAGATTAATTACCTTGGGACTTCTATTTTATCCCACTGATTCCTGGCTCCGATGAGACTGTCTGACTTTCATTCTCTGATTTCAGCAAATAGGTGAAATCCAGGACAAGTTCAATAGCTGGGATGTCGATGTTCCACTGAGAAACAGGCCATAGGGCACTTCCCAGAATCAGAGCTGGTCTCCCCTAGCATCTGCTTTCAGGCCCTCAACAAATATTTATTGAGCACCTACTGCGCGCCAGGCTCTGTTCTAGTCGCTAGGACCATAACAGTGAACAAGAGGAACGAAGTTCTAGCTTTCTGGAGCATTCCTTCTGGATTGGGGGGGAGGGGTGGAAGGTGGTGAGAAATGAATAAAGAATTCTACAATAAATGCCAAGAATAAAGCAAGATAAAGGGTAGAACGTGAGGGAGGGAATGCCACAGGACGGTCAAAGGGGGCGTCTCCCAAAAGGTGGCATTTGAATGGAGACAGGTGTGCCATGCAGAAGCAGCTAACGGCAGGGGCAGAAGGTCTGATGGAGAGTGACAGGCTGTGTGTGAGGCGCGTCAAGGGCAGGTTTGGTGAGCAGAGCCAGTGAAGGAAATCGGAGAGGAAGGGCCACAGGGTGGAACTGTGACTTTACACCGAGTGAGATGGGGAGGCACTGGTTTTGACCAGTGGAGGGATATGACCAGTTTAGCAGATGCTTTGTCTTCTGAGAAGTGCACCAATAGTAGAGGCGAGGCCGGAAGCAAAGGGACCAGTGGGCCTGGACTGCTTTGGGGAGAGAAGGCAGGGCCCACACAGAGTGGGAACCAAGGGCCGATTCTGTAAGGATTACTGACAGCATTTGGGATGTGAGCAGAGGTGATATGTGAGAGAATGAGAGATATAACAAGACTCCCAGGCTAGGAGCTGGAGAATAAATCTGCCTGCTCCTGCGATGGGAAAGATGGCAGGGGAGCAGAGATGAGAGGGAAAAGCTTATAGGTGGGGAAACTGAGGCCCAGAGAGAGGGGGTGATTCCTAGCAGCACGCAGGGAGTGAGTGGCCATTCCAGACAAGAACTGAGTCTCCTGCCACCTCGTCCTCCCTCCTTGCAGCTTCAGCCAAGCCTCATTCCACAGTGAGGCCTCAGACTCCAAGGGACGGGGCCAGGGAAGCAGAAGGTCCATCTTAGACCTGAGGCCAGCACCGACCCAGATGGGGACATGCAGTGGGGTGCGGGGCCCTGGTGGACAGAGGTCCCAGCAATCTGAGTTCCTGGGGGATAGCCAGTGACGGGGCAGGAGGGAGACATCTTTCCCTCGCTGTCTCCCAGAATGTTAGTCTGGGGCACATGCTGCTCACTGCAGATGGATGAGACCGCCAGATGCCCTTGGCCAGGCTTCTGCCTCAGTGTCCAGGAACCCCTGAGCCATCTCTTGTCACCCAGAAGGATTCATTTTGCTTGTGTTACACACTTTCATGTGGAAAGAAAGGAACTCTCTTCCAAAAGAGAGCTTGAGAATCTGTCATCTAGACAAATCCCCTTTCGGTGCTCAAGATCCACCTTGAGCCCTCTGCCCTGTCATCATTGTCTTGCATGCCTCCAGTGATGGGTGGATCACTCCCACAGCCATTACCTTGTGCTAGCAGTTGGAAAGTTCTTCCACAAGCTGGGTTAGAACCCATCCCCCCTCATTCCCACATGCGGATCCGGGCTCTACCCCCTGGATGGCCCCCTCCTCCCACCTCCAACTGTGTCTCCTCCACTGTAGGACAGCCCTGCAGAATCTCCTTCTGGGTTAAACTCTCTCCCCTTGGACCTCACCCACTCCTCACTATTCATGGGACAACCCTGCCCTCTGCCACTTCCCTGACCTCCTTCCTCACCTCTCTCCGCCGTCCTCACAGCCGTCCAAAATGAGCGGGACCGGATCAGCACTCGCAGGTCAAGCTATGAGGACAGCAGCCTGCCCTCCATCAATGCGCTCCTTCAGGCCGAGGTCCTGTCCCAGCAGGTACTAGAGTGATCCCTCCACCCCCTGGGGACCCCACCCACACACACTGAAGAGGACGCTCACCTCCACCCCGTCCTCCCTAGCCAAGCCCTTTCACAGAACGGAAACTGAGTCCAGGGTCACGCAGCCAGCGTAGGAGCAAAGACAAAACTCAGACCCAGGTCTGGCACTCTGGGGTGCTTTTTAATTCATCCTGCGGCCTGCATTGTGGGAAAATCTTTGCTTTCACTGGGGGCCTGAGATCAGCTTAGCCCCAAGATAACAGAGTAGTGAACAAGTGGACAGAGTAGCAAACTGGGACTCAGTCAACCTCTTGCTGTGGGACCTTGGGCAAGTCACAGCACCTCTCTGGGCTCTTATTTCTTCATCTATCAGATATGGATGATAATTTGTGCTCTGCTCCTCCTCTAGGGCTGAGGGGCTCCTTGGGGTTCTAAGGAGCTGGTGGAGGAGGAAGTGGGGGCAGGCAGCAGGCGAAGGCCCGGAGGGAGCTCTCTCCTCCCCCACATCTGCCTTCTCCTTCCTTCTGTCTGTTTTCTCTGGAACTTTCCCTAGAGCCGAGAATGCACCCGCAGACCATCTCCCCTTTTCCAGACAGGGAAATTACCTGGGGAGAGGCCTCTGTGCAGGGAGCAGTAGGAAGGGGGCGGCGGGGGGGGCGGCGCCATCTCCAGCATTTTCCTTCATCTCCCACCAGATCACCTCCCCTGTCTCCGGGATCAATGGAGACATTCGGGCCAAGAAGATCGCCAGCATCGCAGACGTGTGCGAGTCCATGAAGGAGCAGCTACTGGTGCTTGTCGAGTGGGCCAAGTACATCCCGGCTTTCTGCGAGCTCCCTCTGGACGACCAGGTGAGGGCGGACGTGGCCTTCGGGTAGGAGGGTCCCGCTGGCTCACCGGGGATGTAGCCTTGAATTGGTTTGATTTTATTTAACAAAATGCATATAATGTTCATGTGTGCCTGGGGTTGGTTAAATCACTTCGCAAATTTCAACTCATTTAATCTCTCCAACAACCTTGTGAGGTAGTACCCTTATTATTCCCATCTTATAGGTGAAGAATGAAGGGAAAGAAAGAGATTTTTAAGTTCTGGGGCACAGAGAGGTTAACTAACTTGCTCAAGGTCACGCAGCTAGTATCCAGCAAAGCTGGGATTAGAACCAGGCAGGCAAGCTCCAAAGTCCAGGCTTCTAACCACTGCACAGTGTACCAGGCCCCTCTCCTGGGGAGCTGTTGACAGCAGCCGAGGGCCAGGAATCAGGGAATTTGGGCTTGAGCCCTGGTTTTAAGATTAGTTCTCTGATCTTAGACAAATTACTTCCTATCTCTGAGTCTCAATTTTCTTATCTGTAAAATAGAAATTACAATACCTGCTTCAGAAAGTTGTCGGGGAAGGTCGAGGACATCACCATCTGAAAAGCTTAAATTGTATAATGAGCACCTACACAGTGCCCGGGCTATTGCTGACCGCCCTAGATGTCACCAAGATGGTTTGACGTTCTTTGGAATACCAATATGTCACAAGGGAAACAAGGAGGCTGGGAGGCAGGGGGAGGAGTCTGAGAACAAATGAATTTCTGCCATACTGCAAATGATAGCTTCTGCCCGGGGCACCCCTTAGGCCTCTGCAGACATTGTCCCTATCTGGGAAGGAGAACTGGGCTGGGTCACCATCTCAGCTCTGAGGTAAGCTCAAGCACAAATAGACAGGGCCCAGACATCAGCCCTGGGGCATTCGCTTCTCTGTGTTGCACTTGTGCACAGAAGACTGGCAATGAATGTCAGTCTATTAAAGTGTCTGAGAAGTGCCCCTGGCAAGCCAGCTGTTGAACTTGGTGGAACCCAGGGCTTCTGAAACTCCTTTGACACCCAGACTCTCCTGGAGTACCTATGAGTATCTCCCGGCGGGGGGACACGCTGTGCAAACACCAATTTGGCCGGTCCTCCTCAGCCTCGCGCTGGACGCTGGATCAGACACCCTCTCACGTGGACCCCTCCCGCTTTGGGAGGGATGACAGGGCAGGGATCCTGGCCGAGCTGCCCCTGCCTTCTCCCCTGTTCTTCGTGTCCTGGCCCTGGTCCCCTCTGCTGGAGAGTCTGCATTAATGTTTAATCCCTCCTGTTCCTTCTCAGGGGCTCAGCAGGGCAACAAGATACCCCCAAGCTGAGCAATTGTTAACCTCAATTCCCACTCGAACCTCCCTGGCTGGGGCTCAGAGCATTCTCAGAGAGCAGTGATGGGTGGCCAATAACTCGAGACAATCATTAACAACACCCCCAACCGCCCCACTGGCCCACCCCCAGAACAGCCGCCATGTCAGGGGACTGGATCTGGGGCCGGGAGGGTTCCCAGCTCCCCATTTGTGGTGTTTAAGGAACACATTTTGCCCGAGATGGTGGGGCACACCTGGGAGAATTGGGGGGCATTGTCCTCCAAAGGACATCTCAAATCTATTGACATTGCCTCAGGAATCACCTTCCAAGTTTGTTTGCTTCTTGATTTATTTTGGACATTAATTCATTAAAACCTAGACGTTTGGGTGGCATTGGATAAGGGGGCTGAGGCCTTGAGAGGGAAAGCGATTTGCCCAAGGTCACAAAGCAAGGTAGCCACAGAGCTGGGATCTGATGCCAGGTCTTCCGCCTCTTGGTTTGAGAGCCACTGGAATAAGTGACGGAAGCCCTGCACAGTGAGTGCCTGGTGTATAGGAAGCTCTCAGTCATAAGCATCCTTGGCCTCTCTTTGTCCTAGGCATAGGAAGGGGGCGCTAACATCCCAAGCTATCTGCCATTCCTCTTCTTTTCCTGTCATCCTCACAAAGCTTAACTATAGAGGAATGGATGAGGTAAGGACAGGTGGATGCCTAGGAGGGGCTGGATCTGGAGAGGAAGTTAAGTAGTTTGTTCATTTGTTCATTCACCTTTCTTTCCTTCCTCCCTTCAAACAAATGTTTATTGAATGCCTTAGAACAATTTCTCCTCTTAGAGAGGCTTTCTCTGACTTCCGCATCTAACGTAGTCACTCTTGCCCCATTGCTCTTTATCACATGACCCTCACCTTCTTTTCTTCTTCCTTTTCTCCCTCCCCCCTCCCTCCCTCCCTCCTTTTCTTTCCTTTCACCATTGTGTCTCTTAGTGGGCACTTAACATTTTGATGACTGAAAGAATGAACACTAAAAGGAATTAATGAACAAAAGCATTTTTACTTCACAGTTTGGCCTGCTAAAAAAAAAAAAAAAGCCTCCAAACTCCCTAACCTAGCCTTGCAGATAAGACCCTTGAGGCTACCAGCCTCCTACTGTTTTTACCAGCCCATCCTTCGGTTCTCGGGCAAGCACTAAAGCAGACGGTTCTGAAAGAACAGATGATGACCTCCTGTGAGTTGGCTGGGCTCCTACCTTGGGCTTCCGTCTTCTGAGGCAGCCCTGTCCTCTCTCTATAGGGAGGGATCTGTCAAGCTCATGCCCTGCCAAAGGCCAGTGCTCATGCCTTTGCCTTGGGAACGAACGTCCACGTCCAAATCCTTGTAATTCACTCTCGGAATCCTGGAATCTTATGATGTCAAGCAGGCAGATGCCCTGCAGATCTAAAGCAGTGATTTCCCAAACACAACTGTACATCGAAATTGACTGGAGAGCTTGTTAAATACAGATCCTTGGGCCCACTTCATATATACAGAATTAGAATCCCTGGTGGTAGGGCCTAAGAATTTGCATTTTCATAAAACGCTCTTCATAATCTTCCATAGCTGCTCCATGGGTAGGAATTTGGGACCCACAGTTTTAAAACTTTTTGGGTCATAGACCTTCTTTAGAGTCTGATGAAAGCCTTTGAGCTTCTGCTGAAAAAAAAAAAACACCCAGAAAGTTGTTAGAGTTTCACCAAGCACACAAGAAAGGCCGAGAGGGGAGCAGCAACTTGCCCAAGGTCACAGCATTTTACAGACAGAGTCGACATCTGGTCTCCCATCTCCAAATGCATGTTCTTCCCCCTTCCGCTTCCTGAATCTTTCCCAGGTCCCTGGTTTTATCAGTTATGAGAAGAGCAGTTTTCTGATGCCCATCTTATAGTTTGGACAGGTGAAGGCAAGGGAAGCATTAAGCTGACTCGTCCAAGGTCATCGAGTCAGCGAAAAGCAGCCTTCTCAAGGGTGCAGATGCCAGACACCATCTCTTCTCTTTTCCAGGTGGCCCTGCTCAGGGCCCATGCCGGCGAGCACCTGCTGCTCGGAGCCACCAAGCGATCCATGGTGTTCAAGGACGTTCTGCTGCTAGGTGAGGAGGCTGCCCGCCCAGCCAGGGCTCCACAGAGGGCGCGCACAGTGTAGAACCCTCCTGGGCACAGGAGATGTCCACGGTGACCTGTAGGGGTGAGGGAGACAAATAAAAAATGTCCCTGGATACTCTACTCAGATGCAAGGAAATATGGACGCAAAGGATTCAAGTTCCCCAGCGTTAACGTTCAAGTACCATCAGGGTTGTCCCTGGAATTACCCATGAATTCTAATGTGCTTCCTGGGGTAGGAGCAAGGCGCAGCCAGAAGCGGCACAAACCCCAGCCTATGTCACCTATGCCTTCATGGCGTGTTTATTTATTATTTTAAATGCTTACATAGAATCACACTACGACGAGCCAGATACTAACTAGTCTGAGTACTCGACAGACATTAATTAGCTCCTTTAATACAACAACCCTATGAAGTAAGCTCTATTATTTATCCCCATTGTACAGATGAAAAAACCGAGGCCCAGAAAGGAATGTATCCAAATATATCTCACTAGCTAGTGGTAGAACCAGTGTTCAACCGGACAGTCTAGTTTCAGAATCTGAGCCTCAATGTTTTGGAGACTCCCAAGTGGGCCTTGAACGTCATCTGTCTTGAGGGTCGTGTTGGAGAATGGAATGTGGGTGACGTGAAAGGGTCCCAGAAAGCCAGGCTCCAGGCCCAGTCCAATGACTTCAAGCAACTCATTCCTTTTCATCTGGGCCTCAGCTTTGTCATCTGTAAAATAGGCATGACAAGCCCCATGGGGTGCTCCTCCATGAGCACCAGCTGCATGGTAACTGCAAAGGGCAGGGCCTGTCCAAAGCTAGGGTTGGGGGTACACCCAAGGTGGCTTCCCCACCCCATCCCACCCCTCCTTCCCAACTCCTCCAGGCAATGACTACATCGTCCCACGGCACTGCCCGGAGCTGGCGGAAATGAGCCGGGTGTCCATGCGCATCCTGGACGAGCTGGTGCTGCCTTTCCAGGAGCTGCAGATCGATGACAACGAGTACGCCTGCCTCAAAGCCATCATCTTCTTTGACCCAGGTACAGGCCACTCTTCCCGCCCATCCTCGGTGCTCCAGACCCTCTGTCAAACTTCTGCTACCGGGTTCTGTCCCTTGAGTTCACAGCCTCCTTCCTCTCTTTGGTACAACGTTTACCAGATGAGGAAAATCAAGGTTCGAAAGGATGATACCACCGGCCAGGGCACACTGTTTCCTTGGCTTCTTTCCCTCCTTTCTCGTCCTTCCTCCTTCCCTCTCTCTCCTTCCCTTCTACCTTCCTTCTTTTCTTTCCTTTCATCTTCTCCCCCCCAAAAAAATGTTATTAAAATAATATCTGCACATACTTAAAATGCAAATAGTCCTTCTAACCCCACTTTTTCTGCTAAAGCCTATTTCCCCAGGGGGAACCAACCAATTCTGATTCTTTTAATGGTTTCTTCTGGCAGTTACTTCAAGCTCTAAATAAAATGCTAAGCCTGCTCTTTCTTGATTTATCTATTTTAAATCATATTTTTCCTCCTATGCTTGTGGAGGATTTCACTCTGCTCTGTCAGCATTCCCATCCTCTCTCCCCCGTTCTCAATATATTGTTATGGCTATTTTAGTGTCTCCATTGATTGCCATTCTAATGCTGTTATGTGCTTATGCCTTTATTTCTTGTCCTATCAAGTGTAGACAGTGTCTTCCAGCCTTTCACTTACAGGATAAAGATACAGTAGTCCCCTTTATCAGCGGTTTCGCTTGTCGTGGTTTCAGTTACCTGTGGCCAGCTGTGGTCTGAAGATATTAAATGGAAAATTCCAGAAAGAAACAATTTCCAAGTTTAAAATGGCATGCTGTTCTGAGTAGCATGATGAAATCTCACACTGCCCTGCTCCATCCTACCAGGACGTGAATCGTCCCTTTTGTCCAGCATATTCACGCTGCGTATGCTATTTGCCTGTTAGTCATTCAGTAGCCAACTCGGTTATCAGATCAGCTGTCCCAATATTGCAATGCTTGTGTTCAAGCAACCCTTATTTTACTTAATAATGACCCCAATGCTCAAGAGTAGTGATGCGGGCAATTCAGACGTGCCAAAGAGAAGCCATAAAGTGCTTCCTTTAAGTGCAAAGTGAGCACAGTACAGTAAGATATTTTGAGAGAGAAAGAGACCGCATTCATATACCTTTTATTACAGTATATTGTTATAATTGTTGTATTTTATTATTAGTTATTGTTAACCTCTTACTGTGCCTAAATTATAAATTAAACGCTATGATAGGTGTGTATAGAGAGGAAAAAACATGATATATATAGGGTTCAGTAGTATTTGTGGTTTCAGGCAGCTACCGGGGGTCCTGGAATGTATCTCCCGCAGATACAAAGCGACTATCGTATTGCACCCCCAGTCTTTCCTTCAGCTCCCCATTCTCCTCTCCCCACCTGCATTTTCGCAATGCCTTTGTAGTTACATCTTTGTGCAAAACCTGATTTTATTTCACAATGTCAAGATGCCTGGGCCCCCAAAGGCTTGCTTGCTTCCCTTTCTCTGTACTTGTTAGGGAGGACTTACTGTGTGCCAGGCACTGTTCTTCCTGCTAGGCATCACCTGCGTAAAGATCGCCTCTAGTAAAAATAGCAATGAAGAAGAAGATGACCACCATTTGTGGAGTGGTCACGAAGGCCCCCTTCTAAACACTCCATGTGGATTATCTCACTTATTACTTGCAAGTTGGTACCTGCGAGGCAGGAACTGTTATTATTCCCATTTTGCAGATTAGAAAATGAGGCACAGGGAGATTGATTAATTTGCCCAAAGCCATACAACCGGGAAATGGCAGAGCCCACATTTGAACTTCAGACTATCCAGTTCTCAAGCTCGTGCATGTTCTTACCTATCACACACTATTCTCCCATTTCTTAAAGGATAAGATTCTAGTTCTAGTTTCCTTGTGAGACTGGCCTGGGCTGTATCCCCTGCAGTGCTAAGCACATAACTAGACAGAGCAATTACTCGATTACAGATGCTGAGTCAGGGTCAGCAACCTGGCTTGGAGTGCCAGGTGGCCTAGTATAGGGGCTGGCATATAGGTGGTGCTCAGTGTTTGTCGACTGAATAAAAGAATGCAGAAACATGATTCAGTGGAGAGAGCCCTGCACTAGAAGTGTGAGTGAAATTCTCTTTCTGCCTCTTAGTTTAGGAAATAAATGCGTAACCACCATGAAGTTTGAGACCATCTCTTCATGACCACTTGAGTCCCCTTCTTGAATTTAAAGATCTAGAATTTATTTATTGATTTTTTTTTCAATCATTGATCTTTCCATCCATCTATCCATCCCTTTATCTAGTTATCGATTCAACAAATATTGACTACACCTGGTGCTTGGTGGTGGGTTTAAAATGACAAATGAAACGTATGCCTGCCCGCACAGAGATCACAGTCTAGTGCAAGAGACAGTTGCATCCTGTATGGTCAGTAGTAACAGAAGAACCACAGAAATTTGGGGCCCTGATGGATACTCATAATGCAGACTTGTGAGGGCAGAAAAGAGAAGGCTTCCTTAAGGAGGTGAAACCTAAGCCGAGACCCTAAGATGACACAGGGAGACTATCCTAAGGGAGCAGAAGCAGCACGTGCTGAGGTCTGGACAGTGGACTTCAACTTGGTGTCGGGAGCTCCAAGTCCACATCATGGATCTGCCAACAACTGGATGTGTGACCTGGGCCAAGTCCTTTCCCTGCTCTGTGCCTCAGTTTCCCCATGTGTAATGAAGAGGTTGTTAGGTACCCTCTTAGGTGTGTTTCTGAAGTTCTGCCTTCCATCCCCCACTTCCTTCTCCCAGTTCTGCATCTTAGGAAATGTGACGGAAACGCTTTTCTGCCTGAGTCCAGGAAGCTACAACTTGTCCTAGTGTACCCTGGTTCTTGAGGACCCTGAATCCTCATTCTGGCACTGCGCAGACTCCCTATGGGACCCTGGGTCACTAGGTCCCCATCAGGGCCCCATGAATCAGGGAAGATCTGGGTCCTGACTCCCCAGATGCTCCAGCTGGGCCCCACTGCCCTCTCTTGCCCACTTCTTCCCATTGCAGATGCCAAGGGGTTGAGTGACCCAGGCAAGATCAAGCGTCTGCGGTCCCAGGTGCAGGTGAGCCTAGAAGACTACATCAACGACCGCCAGTACGACTCGCGTGGCCGCTTCGGCGAGCTGCTGCTGCTGCTGCCCACCCTGCAGAGCATCACCTGGCAGATGATCGAGCAGATCCAGTTTATCAAGCTCTTCGGCATGGCCAAGATCGACAACCTGCTGCAGGAAATGCTGCTGGGAGGTCTGTGCCGGGCCCACGAGGGGCTGAGAGGTGGGCGGGGGCAGGTGGGTCCTCTGCAAGAGACAAGCCTCATGCAGATCTAGGCTCACTTTTTAGCTCCATTACTCCCTCACTCTGTGGCCTTGGGCAAATCCTTTAACCTAGCTGAGCCTCAGTTTTCACATCTGGAAAATAGGGACAATGGTCCATTTATTCAGGCACTGACAGCCTAGTATGTGTCAGTCACTCTTCTAACTGCTGGAGATTCAGCAGAGAACAAGATCTCTGCCCTCCTGGAGGCTGTGTGTGAGTGTGTGTGCATACATGTGTGTGTAAGGGCTCATGGGAACAGATGATAATCAAGTATATAATGAAGAAAGTAACTACAGGTTTTTAAATAACCAGGTAAAACGATAGAGTGGAACTGAAAAGGGGCCTCTTTTGATAAGTTGGCCAAGGGAGACCTTTCTGAAGTGGTGACTTTTGTTCTTAGATCTGATGGACGAAAGGAAACAGAACATTTAAAAGCCAAAAAAATAAAAGAAAGAACGAAAGAAAAACATTCCAGGCAAAAGAAACCAATACAGAATCCCTGCAGTAGGAGAGGTTAGAGTGTTTAAGAGAGAAGAATAAAGTTATGAGATGGGGGAGCTGTGTGAGATGAAGATGGAAATTGGGTGGAAACCAAATGACACGCATCTGATTTTGTAGACCATGGTCAGAAATTTGGAATTTATTCTCATGCAACTACACTAAGAAGAGTGAAGATCAGACTAGTGTTTTGAACAAACCACTCTTATTGTAGTGTAGAAAGTGAATATCGGGGGGGCGGGGCAAAGTAGAGGCAGGAGACCCCCGAGAATGCTGTTGTCTCCTGTCAGAGGAAGGACGATGGAGGCTTGGGCTGAGGCATGACTGGACGTCTCGCAGCAGAGGGAAATTTGATCGTCTGTTTGGAGGAAAGAAACCACAGGGTTTGCCCACTGATCAAATGTGGGGTGTGCGAAGGAGGGGAAGAGTCAAGGACGAAACCTACTTTTTTGCTTTGAGTAAGAGGAACACTGGCAGGGTAATTTACTGAGATGAGGGAAAACAGTTCCAGTCTGTATATGGTGGTGGTGGTAAGAGGTGGACCAAGAGATCCATTTTAGACTTTAATTAAACTTGAGACGACTATTAGACATCCACGTTGAGTTATCAAGGAGGCAGTTGGATGTTTCGGTTTGTTGCTCAAACACAAACCCAAAGCTCAGGAGGAAAGGCAGCTCCGTGTGTTCTAGCAATTAGGTGCCATGGAAGAGGATTGTGGGAAGACTAGCCAAGGGATAGGAGCCAAGCCAGGGACGTTCCAGAATCCAAGAGAAGAGCGTGTTTTAAGGAGTAAGGAGAACAGAGCATTTAATGGTGTTAAATTCTACAAGATGGAGGTGTCCATCGGATGGGCAACATGGAAGCTCTTTGCGATTGTGAAAAGAACAGTGTCAGAGAACCTTCGGAAAGGAACCCAGATGGGGAAGTGTTACAGGGTGAGCAAGTGAGAAAGTGACGAAGCGGAGATGACGAGAGTAGACAAGTCTAACAAGAGTAGACGACCCTTTGAAAATGTTTTGCTGTGGCGGGGGAACTATGAGGGAGCTGAGGATGATTGCAAAGGAGTGATCATAATGATGGGCAGTGGAATTTTGACTGGACTAAAAGGGAAATAAAGATGGGGGTGATAAATAGTGAAAAGTGAAGGTCAATGAATTGGCATGCTCAATAGGGTTGAAGAATTTTTGTAGCGATGGTACTAAATGAAGTGAGCTGGGAGGGTAAGAGGTGACATCTAAGGGAAGCAGCTTGGACTCAAGATTTTGCAGGTGATGTAGTTATTGGTGGTGATATGGCCGAGGGCAAGTTTGCTCAGCCTCAGCACTAATGCTATGTGGGGGCTGTCGTGTGCCTTGATTGGTCTAGCCACATGGCCTCTGCCCATGAAATGCCAGTGGCACTCCTCCACCAGGGACAACCAAAAATGCCTTCAAATATTGTCAAATGTCCCCTGAGGGGCCCAAATCACTCCCAGTAGGGAAGCATCGTCATATGGTAACTCATTTCGTGTTCACTTGGACCCGGTACATATGGGGATATTACAAATCAGGTGTCATTGAGATCAAGATCAGGAAGGCGCTTGTGCTCTGTTGCCAGACAAACTTGGGTAAGATTTTAATCTCTCTGGACCCTGTAATCTCATCTGTAGACTGGGATAATAATGATACCCACCCTATAGGGTTAATATAAGGACTAAATAATGTCAAAAATGAAAAGCACTGTAAAATGGTGCCTGGCACATAATAGGTGCTCAATAATTAATAGCTATTATTAAAACAAGGGTACTTCAGAGGCCTTTTGCAAGCCCTAAAATTCTATCGTTGTTACGTTACTGACCACACCTTATATAGTATTATCACTCTCTGACACATTTTTTTGAAACAGTTACTGTGTTCCAGACACATTGCCAGGCCCTCAAAGAGAGGAGAAAAATACACCTATAATTGTAATATTCACAGACAGAGGAAGTGATTGCTCCCAAAAGCAGGGCTGCAGATAGGTTACTATAGGAATTCCAAGGAAGGGGAGGTTGACTTCCTACTGGAGTACAGAGAATCCGAAGAGACTTCCCAAAGGAGAAAGTATCTGAGCCAGAATTTGGACATGTGGACCTGGAGTGGTGGAGAAAGCGTCTGTAACGGAAGCAACACATGAGCAACAGCATAGAGACCGGAAAGTACAGGGAAACGTAGATGCTGGAAGTAGGTCACCTTGGCTGAAGCAGAGGTGTGGGGATGAGACTGAAAGGTGAGTTGGGACCAAATGGTTGAACGACTTTTGTGCCAAAAAGCTTTGAGAGCCATTGATTAAATCCATTATATTAACATGCAATGGATACGCTACTCATGACAATATTTAAATGATCTCAGAGCTTCCTTACATGCTCCTTGTTTCTTTCAAATCGCTTTTGTTCTCTTGGTTTGTTGGGTCCTCTCAGTACCCTCATGAGGCCCATGGATGGGAATGGTAAGCCCCAGTTTACTAACCCATGCTTATCATTTGGTTTCTGCCCCGTTGCCACCATCTCATACAACTTCCCCCATCTCACAACTTTATCCTTCTCTCTCAAACACACAAAGCTCTCCCGCCTCAGGGCTTTTGCATTAGTTTCTCTTGACTTTTAAATGTTCTATTTCCTTTCATCCATCAGGTCTTAGCACAATAGGGAATAGAAACCCAATAAGCACCATCAATAATGGATGGACAGGTTGATTGGTTACACCTGAGGCAAATGGTGCCTCAGGCCCACAGTCCTTATCCCAGACTCTCCATCCTCATTGAGCACCCCCTCTACCTGCAGGGTCCTCCAGTGATGCAACTCATGCCCATCACCCTCTGCACCCTCACCTGATGCAGGAACACATGGGCACCAACGTCATCGTTGCCAACACGATGCCTGCTCACCTCAGCAATGGACAGATGTGTGAGTGGCCCCGACCCAGGGGGCAGGCAGGTGGGCATCTTGGGTTCTACTGAGGAATGGGGTGAGGCTGGAGCCTGGGAGCGGTGCCAGGGGAAGGTTGGGTCTATAACATGGGAACCACAATACAACTGTTCTCTGGGCTCCAGAGAACGAGAAGTAAGATTGTTCCTTTGTTAAGGCTGTTATTCATTGCGGTGATTGACAGCCTGTACTGAATGAAGCTGTTCTTGGGATGAGGCAATCCACCAGACAAGATTGCCCCTTGGGTGAGGATGTCCATTGGGGTGAAAATCCAATAGATGTTGTCCACTAGGTAAAATTGTTCATTGAGTAAAGCTGCTCACTTGGATAAGGCTATCTATTAGACAGTTGGGTGAGACTATTCATTGAGTGGGGATGTCCTTCAGGCTAAATGCTCCTCTGAGGTGAAACCTCACAAGAGTGAGTCTGTCACTGGGCAAAGTTATTCAAAGACTAAGATTATCATTGGGATGCGGTGAACCACATAAAGTAAGATTGTTCTTTGGGAAAGTTGCCCATTGAATAAAGTTAGCCAAGTGGGTCATGGTCAAAGTCACTTCCTGAACCTGTGGTGGGGGTGATTAGTTCTGTTACTGATCTACCTAAATATCAGAGAAATAGTATTTTTTAGGCCAGTTAGCCAGACCCTTGGGTCTCAACTGTTGCTTCTCCTCTCTGAGAAAGTATATTCCTGTCACATGTCCCATTGTCCTTGGGGAGAGTCAGACTTGGGCCTTGGTTTGGGAGAAGCAGCCCACATCTCCATATCAAATGGTGGAAGAGATGGGGATTGGTAGGACCTGGGAAAAGGCTGTGACCGTGGAATCTGGCCCAGTCACAACTTTCCAGACCTCATGGAACTTAGACTCTGATCTGGGACTCAGAAGGTGTGAGCTGTAAGAGACCTGAAAGATTATCTCATTTCATTTGCTCATTTTATAGAAGAAACTAAGCCCCAGAAAGGGAGAAGAGCTTTCCTAGGGCTCTTATTTATTCCCCGAAGGGCCGGAATTCTGAGCAGTCCCTGTCTATCTCTCTCCCTGTCTGTCTCCAGCCACCCCTGAGACACCACAGCCCTCACCGCCAGGTGGCTCAGGGTCTGAGCCCTACAAGCTCCTGCCAGGAGCCATCGCCACAATTGTCAAGCCCCCCTCTGCCATCCCCCAGCTGACCATCACCAAGCAAGAAGTCATCTAGCAAGCTGCTGGGGGTCAGGGGCTCTGCTGGCCCCACAGCCCCCTCAGAAAGTCCCTGGTGGTCACTTGGTCACCACGAAGATGACAACAGGGCCAGTCCCAGAGCAGTAATGGAAAGGGCAAAGAGCCCAGGAACTTGGGCTGCAGGCCACATCCCATTGCCACCCTCCACACCTGCTCTGGATGATGGGGCTTTAACTTGGGGAGACCCCAGCTGGAAAATCCTCTGCCGCCTTGGACAACTTTTCTCTTGCTGAAGCCACTGCCTTCCCCTTCATCCATATCTACCCCCAAGTTCTTCACCCCCCAAGGACTGCTGACTGGAGACAACATGGGACCTGGCTTTAACACAGCTCCCCTCCCCTCAGACTGGTACTTCTCTCCTAGAGCTGTCATAGTGTCCAGTCACAGAGGGCCCTGTGAGGCTGGGTCGGATTGTGACCCCTTAGTCTTCTCTGTTCTGCTGCCTCAGCCTCCAGCGCCCCTCTCCACTGCCACAGTCACCTTCCTCTGCCCTTTTAGTGTCTCCAAAGCCACCTCTCCAGAGGCTGAGGAAGACTTGGAAACAATGTCCCCAGTCATTCTGGGAACACTTTTAAAGCACTGTCTGGGGCTAGGCACAGTGTAGGAGATTGTTGAGAAGGAAGACACATTCCTTCTCTGACCCACAGCTCATCCCTTCTTCAGGGACTTGGGTGGGACCCTTGGGTGGATCCCTTGGGACGGAGTCATGATCTCCACAGGCTCTCAACAATGAGAGAACAGTCCGAGGTGGACAACTGCAGCAGGAACTTGGAGGGGAGGCCGGAGTGGTCAGAGAAAGCATCCAGGTAGAGGCAGACGATGCACCGGGCCCTTAAGGAAGGGTTGGATTTTGCTGGTGGAGCAGGTGAGACAGGACATTCCAAGGGAGGGCAAAGAGCTGGGTAAAGCCTGGAGGTTAGAAGGGCATCGGGGGGAGGGCTGCCTGGAGCAGAGTTGTCATGCCAGATAGTGTGGGAGCCTTGAATGCCAGACTGGGGCATTGAGACCTGGGTTCCTAGGCCATGAGTAGCTGGAGGGGGGGTGTGCAGTGAATTGAGCTTTCAGAAGCTCAAGACAATGATCCTACAGAGGCTGGAAGTTTTGGAGGAAGCAGGGAGATCAGATGGGGGCAGCTAATGTAATCCAGGTGAGACAGAGATGAGGCTTAGGAATGGAGAAGGATGGATAAATCTTCAGGTCAGAGTGATATCAAGGGGGAATTATCCACCAGGGCCTGTCTCGAGCTCTTCCTTATTCCCAGAACTGTCTTAAGGCACTTGATTTGTGTTACCTCCTTTCATCCTCCCTACTACCCAGAGAACCATACAGAAGATGAAATTGAGGTTAAGTAATTTTTCTGGAACTCACAGAGCTGGTAAGTGACCAAGTCAGGACTTGATCCCAGGTCTGCTTGGATCAGAACAGGAGCCCCTAACCGTGGTGGCTGAACAACTCTGAAAGGGCCCTCTCCCCTCACTGTGATCGAGTTGAGGGACTTCCTGCCCTCACCAGCCTCGGAAGCCAAAACTTCATTCGTCCCAGGAGCCGTGCCCACGCCCACGACTAATTGTCATGATGATGCGCTGAAATCCAGTTAGTGGCCAGATTCTGGCTTGCTGATCGACAAGGAGATTCATAACTCCTGGGTCCCTTTTCTCTCTTTACTCCCCAACTTTGGGAGATGGGTGTCAGGGATTTGGCTCTTGGGAGACAGACAAATATGGCCTGGTGTTCTAGGAATGGGACAGTTTGGGTGGGGGACGGGAGAGAGGTCTGGGTTTGAGACCTGCTCTGGGGAGCATCACTCAAGGTACATTCTGGAACCATAAAACCCCAGGATAGAGCAGCCAGTGCCTCATCCATGCAGAATGTTGGTGGCTTTGGGGGAAATTCTGAAAAATGCCACTTGCCAATGGGAATTATAGTGGGGACCAGATCTGGGACTAGAGCTGTGCTTACGTGGAAGGGTGGACAGTTAGACTGCTTACCGACACCCACCCAGGGCTGACCCTTCTGAATAGGCGGGGGCAGTACCCCAGTGCCCCAAGATCCCATCATTAGTGATTATTCCTTTTGGCAAAAGAGGCATGAAGGGCATTGGGACAGTATATTCAAGAGAAATCTCTACATCTCCAGTGCTGTCAGGATTGGCCTTTCCCACTCCAGCAAGCCAGGTCCCCAATCCCAGGAGAGATTGTCTCCTGCTCAGTGCTCTCAAACCTTCCTCAGCCACCTATCATTTAGGTTCCCCAGAAATCCCAGCCAAGGGGCTCAGACTGGTCTGATAGGGAAGCGGGAGTCATTCTGGTCATGTCACTCAGGCCTCTGTCATGAGAACAAAGTAGAGATAAGGATTTCCCGTGGGATGGAGTGGGGAGACAGTGGCTTTTAATGGTAGCAATTTTCTGGGGCAGGGGGTCAGCCCTCTGCCCAAATCAACTCTTCCTGGAGGAGAAATCTATTCCCTTTTAATAATTTTATTGTAATGCAGGAAACAAAATAAAGGCAAGTTTACTTTTCTGATTCTGAACTGAGGACACCACACTGGATTTTTTTTTTTTTTTTCTACCTGAGTTGTGGTCCAGAAACAAAATCTGATGGACTAAGAAAAGGTTGGGAGGGCAAGCACGGACCCTGCGATTCCTCCTCGGAGACAACCCCTTCTCCAGGCAGCTCTCAGAAGCTTCCAGAATCCACAGGCTCTCCTGAGAGTGGACAGAAAGGAGAGGAGAGGGTTGGCAATGGATGCTCCTAGATCTCTTGTGATGACCAGGCTAATTACTTTTGCCAAATTGCTCTGTGGTTTGCCCTGACTGGTTTGGAATGTGAAATTCACATCAAGCAATTCTGGAAGTGGGCTGGGTTCTGTCAGATGCATCAACATCTTCCTGTGGCTGTGAATGTCGTTAGGTCCCATGCTGACACCTGAGCCCCTGTCACTGCCACCCAATGGGGCAAAGAAGCAAAAACAAATTTCTTGTGTGTTTTAACAAAAGTTTATAAAGCAAAATAAATGGCACATATGTTTTCTAAGTCCTCGGATGGGTGTCTTTTCTTCCTTTCAGGTGTTAGAGATAAGAATGAAAATAGTTGGATAGTCCTCTACAGTGCGCAAAGTGCTTTCATACCCATTCTTGTTTAATCTTCACGTCGAGAAGTAAGCAAGTTAGGCATTATTATTATTATTATCGACCCCTACTCTATAGATGGGGAAACTGAAGGCCAGGGGAAGTGATTTTCCTTGAGAGGCAGAGGTGGAAATTCGGAACTCTGGTCTCTTGATTCTGAGTACTCAGTATATGGAGAGAGTGAAAGTCGGTAAGTGAGGGGGTGATGGAAAGATCTGGAAGGAAAACAAGGGTTCATGGGTTGGTCTGTCATCTACTCTCAGGGTCCGAGAAGGAGCCCTGTTCTGGGTCCTGGGTCAACCTACCAGCAATAAGCGATGAGTAGGCGTGGGGAAATGTCGTCAGAGCAAGAGGTGTTTTGAAAAAGAATAAAAGCAAGGGATGCATTTGAGAAAAACGAGCCACCACAGGCCACAGCCTCACATGCGCTCGGGGGTGTGCTGGAGCTGGCTCGTGGCAGCCAGCTGTTCACTTCTCTTCCTAAGGTCACAAGGCCACATGGATACAGGGAGTGGGGGCATGTACACCAGAAGAACTGGCAAACACTACGGATCAAGGCTTCCCGCTGGAGAGCCTGTTGTTAAACATTGACCAGCACACCACGGGCGTTCAGCGATGGGTAGAGGGGGGTTTGCGATGCCTGGACTGTGGGATGCCTTGGTGGGGTGTCACTCAAGGACGAGGGTAGAGCAGGGTGACCCTTGGTGGGGTGTCACTCAAGGATGAGGGTAGAGCAGGGTGACCCTTTCAGCTCTTCCCCAAGGGAAAGGACAACAGTTCTAGTCTGGGAGTCACACATCTCCAAGATCAGCGTAACCTTGGTCAGGTCACCCCACCTCTCCGAGCTGCATCTGTAAAATGGGACCGATCCCTCCTTACAGGGGTGATGTCAAGATTAAACTGACTGAGATGATAGTAACTGTAAGAGATGATACTAATTGTGTATATGAGGTGCCCAAAGTGGCTGCCACTGGGGACTCAGTGAATGTGAACTCTTCAGCCAACCCCTTTCCAGTGAGAGGCTAACCATTGAGGTCTCCGGCCTCAGGAGCACTGCTTGCCTGATACTGGGGCCACTCCCACCTTCCCCTGTCCCTTCCCTCCACTGACGAGCACCAGGAAATGTTTTCTATAATGTAGCAACAGAAGCCTTGTCCATGCCTCTGCCAGCATGGACATGGGGGGTGGGCGCCAAGGAGGCTATCGCAGTCCTAGAGTATGCTTAATAAATCCCTATCAAAACCATAAACCCTGAGCTGCCATAAATTCCTCTGGCCTTGGCTCCTCCACTTCATCAGCCCTTTGCCCTTTAATCTCAGATCTCAGCGTGGGTGGAGGCCAGAGCTTGATTTCCATTTCAGCTGCAAAACAACATCAGCTTGAGAGATAAACAGCAAATGCCATTATCCTCATTTTAGACGTAATGAAACCGGGGTTCGGAGAGGGGAAGGAAATTGTCCAAGGCACACACCTGTGCTTCTTCTACCAACCCATGTGGCCTCACTGAGCAACCCCTACAAAGGTTGCTTCCCCAGCCATAATGCTAGTAGCTTTTTATCCCATTATTACAAATGGAGCCCCATTACTCAAAGAGTGGGGATGAGAAGTGAAAGGGACTATGGGTGATAGGCTGTAGTGAGGATCCAAAGGAAGTTCTATGCAGCGTGAATGACCTGTCATCCCAAATCAGTGGCATTGCCCTATTTCCTCTTTTGTGGAACCCAGATCACCTTTAATTTACATTTCTCGAATCGGTGTGTCATATGTAAATTCCAAGCCATGATCGAAGAGACCTGAATCACAGGATCCCATGATTCTACTTGATGCTGGTGGAGCTGAAAACCAAATCTTGATGTCAAGGACATTTATTGAGCTCTTCCACTTTGTCCAACGTTGGTAGACATAATTTAATCCCCACAACAACTCCATGAGTCAGCTCTTCTTGTTCTGCTGTACAAATGAGGAAACCAAGGCTCAGGAGGAGGAAGGGAACTTGACCAAGGTCCACAGCCAGTGTGACAGCTGAGATTCACATGCCTGCTGTCCAGCTCCAGGGGCCACCATGATGGAATGGAGGAGGGCACTGATGACTCGGTCACTGCGTGGTGAGCACAGAAGTAGTGTGAACTGTGGGTAGTTCGTCATTTGACAAATGTCGGTGGGCAAAGCCCTGTGCCAAAGCATCTGGGTGTTGCGCAGTGTCAGTACCACAAAGCACCTCCCTGTGGGTGCTTACTATTTTCACTTGTATGGGGAGAAATAACAAGTAGTTGAATATTAAGAGTCAAAGGCTTGTGAGTGACAGCTAGAGAGATGACAGTTTGAGAGAGAGAATGAGACTACTGCAGTCTGGGCAAGGGAGTGATGGGCACACGCAGGAGAGGGATTCAGGGGCAATAGTAAGGTAGAGAAAAGACGCAAGTGCATTTGAGGCTGAGGGGAGAGAATGGGCAGGGGCAGGCAGCAGGATGCACAGCCTGCGGGTGGGAGGGAGGCCGGAGCCCATCACTTCCCAACCTTCAGTCATTGCACGTGCCATCCTGACCCTCTGCATACCCGCGGACCACTGCACCTTCCGCTACTTAATATTTTCCTTTAAATCGATTCATAGTCATTCTCTTTATACTGATCACTGACATAAATGGGAAACCAGTGTCACTTTCTATAAACAGGAGATGGTTGAAAAATTAGAGTGAAAAGAAAACAATATTCTCAAGGTGCAGCCAGAGAGGATCGCCCAGGAAAGCTCTGCTTTTTCTTCTTCAAACTGGAAATTGACAAGTATTTAGAGAGATGTTAAAGACATACGCTATCCGATGGAAACTTTCTCTTTCAAGTTTTCAGAAGGAAGTAAGACCTGTAAAGAGATAGGCTTTGGGGACAGTATCACTTAGTGCCATCACTGTGCATCTCTAAAATCACTCAGCATGCCACTGAAGTCCTTATCTCACACCTGGATGGATGCTACGACAGCTGGTCTGGGCCAGGTGGTGAGGAACTCAGACACCGGGCCACTGGAATTTCTTTTGGAGAAATAAGAAACCACTGGCAATTTTAGATCGGAGAAAGGCTATAGCCAGATCTGTATTTTTAAAGGATCGTCCTGGCAGCTTTGTGGAGGAGAGATTGGAGGGGCTGTGACTGTAAGCAATGAGACCAGTGAGGACACCCGTGCACTGGGCCAGTGAGAGATGGCGAGGTCTGCACCAAAATGGTGGCAGTAGAGATGCAGAGGAGGGAACCGATTCAAGAGTCATACACATTCATTCGTTCATTCACTTGCTCAGCAAATATTTAGTGGGTGCCTACTCTGTGCTGTGCACCTTTCTAGGCACCAGGGTACACAAGTGAGCAAGACAAATAAAGTCTCTGATTTTATCTTCTAGAGGGAGCAAGTAGATAGTGTTTGAGTGAATAAATAAATAAAGGTAATTTCAAATAGTCCAGTGCTGTCAGACTGTCAAACAGTCAAGTTCTTTAAAAGTAAAACAAGTCGTGGTGAAAGTGTGAATGTGAAATAAAAATAACGAAATAGGATAATTTGAAAGGTCGGGGGATAGGGTCTCATCAGACTGAGGAGTCTGGGGGGCCTCCCTGAGGAGGTGAATCTGGCTTGAGAGCTGGAAGATGAGAAGGGGCCAGCTACACAGCCCTGGGGGAAAGGCGTGCCAGGTGGAAGGAACTGCAAGCGTAAAGGCCCCCACGGTGGGAACAAGCTGAGCATCTTGAAAGGTGAACAAAAAGGTCAGTGTGGCTGGAGCGGATCGAAAGACGAAGTCTGAGAGGTAGGCGGGGGCAGGAGCAGGTGGGGCCTTCTAGGCCATGAGGAAGATCTTGGGTTTTATTTTAAGTGCAATAGAAAGCTCTTAAAAGTTTTTAAATAGGGAGGTGATGAGATCTGATCCGTGTTCTTAAATGGTTACTCTCCGCTGTGTAGAGAATGGGCTATAGGGAACACGAGTAGAACCAGAGAAGCCCAGAGGTGATCTGTGAGGTGGTCCAGGGGACAGATAATGGCAGCTTGGACTAGAGTGGTGTGGTAGCCAGGAGCCCCGCCAAGAACTCGCTTATGGGTTGGATGTGTGAAGGAACAAAAGAGAATTCTAAGGTGACCCCCGAGACTCCCGCCCCTGGTCTATATGCACCTTCTTCCAGTTATTTAATCAGACACTAATCTGAGTGCTGCTGTGAAGGGGTTCTGCAGATGTTATGGAGGTCCCTGACCAGTTGACTTGGTGATAGGGAGATTTCCCTTGGGGAGCCTGTCCTAATCAGGTGAACCCCTAGAGGGGGCTGGGCTCTTTCTGGCAAATGAAATTAGAAGTGTGAGAGGGAGTCGGCATGAAGGAAATTCTCTGTGCCTGGCTTCGAAGATGGAGGGGGCCACATTGCAAGGAATGCTGGCCGTCTCTAGAAGCTGAGAGTGAACCCCCGCTGACGGCCAGCTAGGAAATGGTGACCTCAATCCTACGACCATGAGAAACTGAATTCAGGTGACAGCCTCGATGAGCTAGGAAGTGAATCCTTCCCCAGAGCCTTCAGGTAGAGACGTAGCCCATCCAATACTTTGATTTCAGCTGTGTAAGACCCTGAGCAGAGAACACTGTCACGCCACGCCCGTGTGACCGGACACTATGCGATAACAGATGCGTGTTGTTTTAAACTACTAAACTCGGGGTAAATTGTTATCCAGCATTGAAGACGAACGTAGGTGGTGGGGGAGAGGGGAGGCCAGATTGGGATGTTTGGGAAGGTAGCCCTGGGTTGGATGTGTGAAGGAAAAAAGAGAAGCAGCTGTGGAGCTGGCGGCAACGGTTCCTGCAACGCGGAAGCTTGGAGGCGCTGTGGCTTTGGCGTAGAAAGCAGAGTTCCGTTGGGATGC